AGCTGCAAGCCCAGGGGATATGCTCCTTACCCTAGTTCCAACACGTAAAGGGTTTATCTCTCTTATCTATGACAGGCTGGTGAGCATGAACGGTTCTTCGATAGATCGGATTAAAACGGCCTGGGAACAAGATTTAAATCGGTCATTGTCTATGGATACACAAGCCTTAATACTCAAGTTAGTTAACTCCACATCCCTATGTGCCCGCCACTGTCTTTTACAATTTAAGGTCGTGCATAGGTTCCATCTCTCGAAAGTCAAACTATCTCGTATGTATCCGAATGTTGACCCCACTTGTGATAAGTGTGGGAGTGTGGAGGCTTCCCTTATCCATATGTTCTGGACGTGCCCTAGCCTTGAAGGATTCTGGAGAGATGTATTTCAAACCTTGTCCCTGATTCTTGGACACCATATGGATCCTAACCCATTAGTTGCGCTTTTTGGCACCACTGGAGAGGCTGATGCATGGTTGACCTCGTCACAGCGTTGCACGCTCTCCTTCGCCTCCCTTGTAGCTAGGCGTGCAATCCTACTAAGATGGAGGGGTGCCCCTTTGCCCACCCAGACGCAATGGCTGAGGGACTTTATGTACTATCTGAGCCTTGAAAAGATCCGATATGCGATTAGTAATAACAGCGGTAAGTTTTACAAGGTGTGGGGGCGATTCCTGAAATACTTTTCCAGCCTCCAGGTTGCGAACCTGACTTCCAGCATTACTCAGTAAGTCCTACCCCCCCTCTTCTTCTTCTTCTTTTATTTATTTATTTATTTATTTTTTAAAAAAATGTTGTTATTTTATTTTACTTATTTATTTTTTCTAGTCATGTGTGTTTGTCTTATTTTTGTTGTTGTTGTATTTGCAATGGTTTTTTTTGTATTTTTTATTTTCATGTGTGTTTTTTGTTTCTGTTGTTTGTTTTTTCTTTTTTCTTGCTTTGTTTATTTTATTTTTTATCTTTTTGTTTTATTTATTTTTTGAGGGATAGGGGTTCTAAGTGGTATGGGTAGAGGGTAAACTGATGTAAGCAATTACAAGACATGTGAGTGTGTCATTAATCTGTATTCTAATATTTCAGTTCAAACAGTCACTGTGAAACTTACTTGTTTGTTGTTTAACGATTCTGTATCTGTTTTTCTTTGTTGCTTTAAATCAATAAAAATATCTTTGAGAAAAAAACTTACGATCATAGTATCCTTTGACTGTGCATACCAAGCTGAAGAGTTGGATGACCCAGCAGAAGCCCTTCTGCATCTCAAACACAAACACACAAGCCAGGATCTGAAACACACAAACACACATAAGCACAGTCAATGTTTCTAAATGTGACGTTTTGTACACAGAGATTCCAAAATTGTTCTTTTTCTTTATATCATCACATGATATCACAAAGTGATGCGGCGTCTCTGTAGGACACAGAACCTCTAAAGAAATGACAGCACTGACAATAGACAGCCTCACAGGACTCTCAATGCTAACACCCAACACTTTGTGAGTCCTGCTTTTGCACACCGTGTTAATCACATCAACCTAGCAACAGGGTACCCGCCCCCTGATGACCTCCGTATTCCTCGACTGGTTGGCGAGTGGTTACTGGAGTACGCTGGCTGAAATCGATCACAAAGCCTTGGTCACAGCAGTTTAATGGACAAAGCTGATTTGTCTGTAAACACTCCCTAAATAACAAAGTGTTTGAACTGGTAAACTGGCTGGTTGTATTCTAGCTGAGCACCTGAACTCAAAGTAAAAGCAAAC